CTGTGAGGCTTGGCTACTTAATGGTCCTCAGTCTGGCTCAGAGCTACCAGCTAGTTTTAAGGCCTCTGGAGAAGCTGTAAAACTTTAGAAACTCTCCCTGGCTTTATCTGTAATAAATACTGCTCTGTATTTAAAAAACTTAATTAGAGTCATCAAATAGCTCTTTATCCTAAATACTAACTCACTGGTTAGTGGTAGCTTCCTGGAACAGTGTTGGAAGGAGTCTGAGGCAGTTCACGGGGACAGAGTACTACAATTGATTAACGATGTCTGCTGAGGGCCAGGGAATGGGCAGTGGAGCACACATGGGCCATGTCTTTGCCATCACTTGGTCAGACAATTAACTACCATCTGAAAAAAAGAGATGTATGCAGGAGATGGGGGTCCTACCCCTCACTTCTCTGACACCCTGTTGTGCAGTCTTCAAACCTGTGTTCTCACCTGTAGGGCGAGGGCACTGGACTAGAGGGGCTCTGAGGACTTTCCCTCTGTTAACACCAACAGGACTAGTCATTTGTCCCTCCATGAAAGGAGTAGTAGTTTTAGGACTGACACAGTGGAGTCCTTGCTGCATCTGAAGGCACCTGGATCTAAGGTCTGATCACTTACTGAGGCGCAGGCAGCTGTGAGCCCCACAGAACACTGCACAGGCCACACCCCTCACTGTGTCACACGCATACTTTCCCTTTAAGAGCCTGCTCCCGACCTCATCCCAGCATCTCAGCCACTGCTTTGATCTCTCCCCTAAACGTTCCTCTGGAAAGGACCCAATAAAGGGCCCCTGTACACACCCTATAAATGTGAGACATTCCTATTACAATGGTTGTTCTTATAATATTCAGAGAGGAGGGAGTCTGCCTGGGGTTCCCTACCATTCACCTTGAAGGTGGCTTGTGACACCCCTTATTCTCCCTTGGCCTACAAATGGATGTGTCTATTTTAAATTCCACTCCCTCTTCTTTCACTGCACACCCTCTGCCCAGCCGTAGGTGACATCTGATTTCCTCCATTTGGGACATTCCAGTTTCTCTCTGCACAGCAAGCACATCAAGTAACGGCAGCTGGAGTGCTCATTAAGGGTCCCAGACCAGGAGAGAGGAGCTGATGGGGGAAGAGTTGGGGCCTGAGGTCTGGAAGCCACACTCCCAGCTCCCCATGAGCTGGCCCCCCCGCCCCCCGCCCCATTCTCTCTCTGAGCTCTGACCCTCCCCTCCCAGTGGCTTGGCCCTTCTGCTCGCATCTGCCTCTGGCTGCCTCATTTCAGGCTTCTCTCCTATTGGGTCTCCTCAACCTTGCCTGACAGCTCCCTCTTCCTCCTGCCTACAGATACGGTCTGTGCCCAGCAGGCTGCTTCCCCCACTGGGGAGGGTGGTGTGAATGTGCCAATAGATTCCAGCCTCCAGGCCATTGCACAGGCTGTGTGCCTCACCAAGCGCCCTGCCCAGTGCCCTTCTTCCATCCTTCAGTGAGTGCCCAGGCCCACCTGCTCCAGGACTGATTGCCAGCCCCAGGTCCCTGGGAGCCCTCTGCGAGCACTCCTGTGATTCTGAGCATGGTCTCTGGCGGTGGCACCTTTTAGTGCATCTTTCTGTCTGCCATCTCCTGAGAGTCTCACAGCATCCCCAAGAAGGAGGCAGGGCCTGGGCTTCACAGAGGAGGAAGCTGAAGCTCAGTGGGTGGCAAAGTGCAGCTGGACTCCTGGGTCTAAGACCCAATATTCACAGGGTGTCTGTGTGCCCTTTGAGAGCAAGAACCCTCTACAGGTCCATTCATAGGATCACATTTTAACAAAACCATGTCCTCCTCTCTTCCCTACGTTTTCTTTTCTCCCAGGGGTTCCCGCCACTTCCAGTTCTCTCTTCTCCGCTCACCCTTTCCTCACCTTTGCCCTTTACTCCAACCTGGGAGAACATACGTCGGAAGGTCTTGGGTGGAGGAAGGGCCTCAAGTTGCTCCAGAGACACCTCTGCTGGCCCAGAAGTGGCTTGCTCCTGACATAGTGCTTTCACATAAAACTTCCTGTGGTGACATATATGTTATATATCTGTGCTGTCCAAGCTGGTAGCCACTAGCCACAGGTGTCTACTGAGCACTTACTTGAAATGTGGCGAGTGTGACTGAAGAACAAAATTTTAAATTTTATTTCCTTTTAATTAATGTAAATATAATGAGTCACATGTGACTAGTGGTTACCATATTAGACAGTGTGACCCTTAGAGTCTTTCATGAGCCCCTGGACTGCAGGCCCACCCAAAGCCATCTACACACAGACTAAGCCATCCACCCCTTCCACCCACAAGACAGCTCTCTCCCTCTGGTTCCAATGCCTTTTTCTACTGACCTCAGGTCCCACCACTCTAGCCACTATTTCTATTCACTCCTTTCTGACCCCACATGCACGCAGCCCTAGTCTGGGTCTCAGTCCCCTCTGGCCTGTACTAGCCTCTTGTTTAACCTCTCCGCTCTGCCTTAAGTTCCCGTTCTAAGGACATTGCTGCCCCCTCTAGAGCCTTCCCTGGCTCCCCACTGCTCTTACATAGATCTTTCTCTAAGGCCCCTCTTGACCTACGCCATCTGTCTCTTTCTAGCCAAGTCCTCTATCATCCTACCCTCCCAGCTCTCCAGAGTCATAGACTTTCTTTGGTTTCCCAAGGAAACCCCTCCCTCTGACTTTCAGCCTCCAGAAGCTGTTCCCTTTGCCCCTAAGAACAAGGCCCCTACACTCATCCCCTTTGCCTGGAAAACTCCTATTTGCCCTTTAAGACTGCTTGAAAATCACTTTCCCAGGAAGCCACCACCATCAGGTATGTTGCATGTTAATACATTCCCCAGGCCTCCTCTGCTTCCATTGTCATAGCACTTTTTACACAACGTAGTCACTCTCTATTTTCTTCTTTGTGTCCTATTTGCCTCTGCGTTAAGGAAGGCAGAAGTGTGTCCACACTGCCTGACCCACAGCTGGCTCTCAGGAAACATTTGCTGAATGACTGAATGAGAATGGACAGAGAAGGTGGCAGGACATAGTGGAAAAAACACTGGAGGTCTAGGTTCTAGTCCTGGATCTCACCATGTGACCCTGAGTAACCTACTGGCCCTCTCTGGGCCTTAGTTTCCCCACCTGTGAAATGGGATCAGCCCAGATGCTCTGCAGATGAGAGGTCTAGAAGTCAGTGGGGTAAACATGAAGCTGCAGTTTTGAGAGGAGGAATCAGCATGTAAGATAACACTGTCAGCCCTAAGACCTTAAAAGCATGAGACTTGGCATGGCTAAGTCTTAAACAGAGGAAGCAAGGCTCTGGGAAAGCGCTGGGGTATGTCCCGGCCAATAGGAGGGGCCAGGAAGGGGAAAGGATGGTGAGAGGAGCTAAGCAAAACTCCCAGGGTCTGATGCTGTCCCTCAGCAAACAGCACCCAGAGATACCTGGGAGAGAACGAACTGACCTCATACCCTCTCCACAGCACAGCCAGGCCCATGTGCACTCTCAGCCAGCCTACAGAGGCTGCCTGCTTGCATTGCTGAGCCTAGAGTCCCCCTACCCTTTTACCCCCTGCCTGGATTCCCGAGGGCCTGGCAGAGTGCGGGAATGAGCTGACAGCAGCAGTCACGCGTGAGCCACTAGCAATACTAAAGTTGCCCTGTGGCCACCCTCTCTGGCCATGTGGCCTCCCTCTCCTTGACCACCCTGGAGAACTGCTTTGGCAGCTACCAGCCTCTGCCTGGTAGGGGCACCTGAGAGGGCCCTGGCTGTAAGAAACTGGTGCACTGTTCCAGAATGGTGACAATACCACTACAGTTAGAGCTGGGTTCTAATGCTTGCCATCGTCACCACCATTTTGCGACTTCAGAGGGGTTAAGGTATTTGTCCCAGGTTGCACAGCTTCTAAGCAACAGAGTAGGAATAAAACCGAGGCCTGCTGGACTCTACTACCCTGCTCTTCACTATTCCACACCATTTTTTACTGAAAGGCCCTCCTAGTTTTTCCCATGGAAACCGGCCATGGCCAGCCTCTTCCAGGACCCCTTCCCAGGGTGCTGCAGCCGTCACCCTTCATCTGGGTCCTGGATACCCTGTGCTGTCCAGATTCCCATAAGTCACCAGGCCTCATGCTTTCACAGGTGGCCCAGCCTTTTCTCCGATGGCACCAATAAGACTGCATATCCCTCCTTCCTGGGGAGGGTGGGTTTTTTGTGGTTTTTTTATGTACTCCCAAGATTGCCATGGCTAAGGGACACTAGTGGCTTTTAATCCACTTGCGTTCATGAACATTTTGGGAATGGGAAAAAGCTCAGCATCCTTTTCCCAGAAAAACACACAGACAAAATGTTTCAAGGGCATGAAATAAAAAAACCCAGCTTAGGAACCAGAGGGTATGCAGAGCCAGGGGGACCCACACCTGGGCCCCAGTGGTCCGGGGCAGCGGGCAGGGACAGGGACATCACCAGCTGCAACAACTGCCCCCTCGGGCCCCCTCAGCCCCTCGGATGACTCACTCCCTCACTCAATTTTCCGAAAGGAACGTTGGCAATAAAAGGCAATACTGATCCTCAAGGGATAGATGGGGAGGGCCCTGGGGACCCAACACGCCTCAGGCAGGGGCCACCGGGCACACATCCCGCTGCGTGGGCGCTGGTCGGCTCTCACACCACCCTGGCTGGGTGCCGAGTGTATCAGAGCTTGGCCGCCCCTGAGCGCCTCTGCGCCCCGTGCCTTCCTCCACCTGCCCGGCGCGCCCAGGGCGCTCCCAGCCCCGGAAGCCCGGAAGCCCGCCGGGAGCGGGATCGAGGGGTCCCACGCAAGCCGCTTGCGTCCTCGGGGTCCCTGGCAGGGCAGCATCCGTTCCTGCCCCCGACCCCTCCCTCAGACAACTCTTCGGAGTCCCGGGGCGCACGGCGCTGCGCGGATAGCCAGCGCCCGCGGGTACCCGCTGGTGGAGAGTTTGGAGGCTGCGCGAGGGGGCGCCGCGGGGAGGGATGAAAGCCAGCAACAAAGAGCACAGACCTCATCCAGCAGTTGGTTGACTCGTCCCAAAATAGCCGTCTCCATTTGCTGCTCCCCACACTCCGCTTCCAGGCGCAGCACCCGGGCCTGCAGCTCCGCCGTCCGAAAGTGGGCGAGCAGGCTGAGCGCCAGCGAGCAGAGGGCCAGCGCCAGCAGCCCGCACGAACCC